TTGCTGATGCTATTGGAAGAGAAGCCGAGAGAGAGGAGGGGATCGAGGCAAGCACGATTGAGAAGAACCAAAGACGTGTGGATACAGCTAGGAAAGAGATCAAGGTATGTGCTTGGCATAGTTGGAGCGTGCGAAATCTAAGTTAATCACTTAGCCATCTTACAGTCGCGAGAACACTAGGCCATCTCCTCTCAGCGAGAATTCGGCCCTTCCTACATGGATGCTTCTCGCCAGTATCATTGGCGGCGTTGTTTGTGCTTATGCCCTATATCGGCGATACCCGTCTTAAGACGCTGACGTTCTATCTGGCCTTGTACACGCGGGCGATGTGCTCGGGCTATTTATCATGACCCTAGGTCTATACAGACGCCCCATTCACGAAGACTGTATCTCTACTCTCTGGTCGAATTTTGTACTGCTAACAAACGCGTCACCTCAGAAACTGGCGTTCTGCAGCCCCCATCGGCCTCATAGCCACGAACGCACGAACAATTTGCTTGCTAAATCCCGACATCCTCGAGCACTACGCTGTCCGGCTGCTATAATCTGCGGACGCTCGTTCTTGCATGGAATACGCTAACTCGGGTCTTCCGGCTGAAATATGCTGTCCACACGGTGGGCGTTCCAGCTTATCGGTCACTATCGTGATACATCGTTTCTCAAGCACTTTAGCCATGCTAAGTATCGTCGCACGCCTGTCGGTGCGTACGCTGACCGATCTCTTGGAAGAGAGCAATTCATCACCTTCTGACAGTAAAGTTCATCGCCTGTTGCATTGGCCGGCAGGTTCGATCGGCGTACGATTCACGCCGCCTCCTAAGACTGGCCATGACATATAAGCCTTCTGTGCTGTTGGATGACATGACATGGATCCCATGCCTCATGGTCCGCCGTACCTGCGTGAAGCGTCGTCATCGCTCCTTCACAACAGGCGGCAGAGAGACAAGGCTTTACTTGTCGGCCTCGAGTACGGGCGCAAGGGAGACGACGCCGTTCCTCCTCTCCCTGGCATCCATGAAGACATTCACTGCTTCAGAGAATATCTCATTAAGCATGAGCTGTACTGGCCTAATAATATCACTGTGCTACTGGACGACGGCATGGACGACACTCAGGGCATCAAATCTGTTGCGGACGATTCTGACCTTTATCGCTTGAACAAACCGAACAGGAAAACGATCGTGAGCAATTCTCTTCTTCCTTCGTCTTACATCCATCCCTCACATACGCCTGTCCGAGCAGCTGCGCGAGTTCCGCCGTCTCGTTGAAGGGATGAGAGAAGGCGATTGTCGCATCTTACTCAGCAAGTCTTGTCAGTCTTCGGAGCCGTACCAGGCGCATAACTAGATAGATGCTTTAGTTGCAGGTCATGGAGCTCAGCTAATCAACTTGGATGGCACGGAAGAGGACGAGCGCGACGAAGGTGTGTCCAGTCACAGGATCCGCTTCAACGAGCGGTTGACAACGTCCTGCAGTCTTCATTGCAGCTGGGAACGGTGGTTTCCCCCCTTCACAGGAGATGCACCGTTGCTGGAGAGTCCAGAGGATATAGGTCGGCTTCCTGAGAATCACGACTTCTACAAGGTGCTGAAAGGCCTCATACTCGATAATGTGCGTACGGTTCCGCTCCCACCATGTTCTAGTTTCTAAGCCGTGCTAAACTTGTTTCAGGAATTTCGAAAGGAGCTAGTCGATGCTATACCGCCAGGCTCTCAGCTCGTGGTAAGGTCGTAGTGTTAATGATGACCACGGCACCATCTGAACCTATCGCGGCAGGCTATCGTCGAGACATGTCACTCCGGAACGCTCCTTGGTAGGTGCCTTCGCCTACGCTTCACTCAACATGCGTATCAATTGAGGGCTCCTTTAGACCTGGACTCTATGAAACCGGAAGAGGTTCACGTGGACGACGAAGTTCACGGCTGCGGTAATCCGGCGAAAGGTAAAACTCTCCATCTCGGTCTGTCATCACAGTACTCATCGCCTCTCGAGATATCTCCAAGGTTTTGAGTATCGGAAAAATGCGGAAGTTCATTCGCAGACAAGTTCGGAGAATGACTGTTGCTGCCGTAGCTCCGGTCGTCTTGGTGCATAACTCGCTGCCTCTGAGGCGCATACGGTCGAAGCCAGCAAGACGAGACAGCAGTGCCACAAGTTCCACTCCACTCAATACCCCGAAGGTCGCTCAGGAGCGGGCAGGCACATGGGACGAAAGCTGCTCGTCAGGCAGACAACAAATGCGGGGTCGGCCGGAATTAGCCTGTGTGGTAAGCTTCCCGATGGTTGTCCATAAATGCAGCTTTGAATATTGTCTAGATTTCTTTCTCGTCTTCTCAAGACTCTCAAAGGACAATGGCCGGTGGGCCATGCCAGTCAATGATTCAGGTACGCTTTCTGTCTCTCCCCTGCCAAGCGTGATGATGTAAAACGCGGATCGTCGTAGATTATGATGAATTGCTTGAAGTCAGGTATATTTTTACCCTCCGTAGCTTGGCAGGTCGCCTAAAGACATCTAGAACCTGCGACTGGTCGTAGTAAGAGTGCCAGGATTGTGCACCAGACTGTTTGGTAAGCTGTTTGCGATGCTGTCATATCCACACGCCGCCTCATCCGTGCGAAGCGACGAGATGTATCAACAACGCTTGAAAGTTATTAGCGAGGGAAAAGGGCCTCGCTTCAACGCCAGCAAGCTTCTCAAAAAGCTCCAAGAGAAGCAGAAACCTCAGGTATTCTCGGCGTGAATGTTTAAATAGTTTTCCTATAACCTCGACCATTATAGCTTTCTACCTTGAAGACATGGGCCCGTAATGCTGAAGGTCAGCCAGCCCTCGCAACAGACACGACCTTGGACGAGGTTCTCGAACTTTAAGCCCGATGCCTATCTCAATGCTCGACGTACCTCTAAGTGTGCTAGTAGGCTTTGTCTTTGTCTTCCTGACCACTCTCTTCTGCGCCTGCGGGGCGCATACCTGTGTGCTACTAAAGCCAGGCTGTACTAAATATGCCACAGTTTTCGACCGGCACAGGTCTTTAGCAATGAGCGTATGCGGATATTTGCACTCGGTGCGCGCGCCGCCGCGGGCACTTACAATGCGATGTGGCTGCACAGGCGCTCTGCTGCAATGTCCCAATACACAATTGTATTGTGTTTGCTGGCAGCTAGGTGAAGCGTGCTTGCATCGCCGCCGCCACTGCATGGACTGCTGTGCCAAAATGCTACCAACGTCGAATGCCGCCCCCGCCGTCGCGCTCACGTGCGCCGCCTTTGCGACGCCCGTTCTCCCTGCTCTCGGATGTGGGCGCTGCACAGCTTGATCTTGATTGAACCCCCACATCTGAGACGAAGCCTGCGGACCCTTAATATAGTCCAGATGAGGCAACCTACAAAACTACGACAAGCCTCGCCAGAAACATTGGATGATTTGATGAACGCGGTATGCGTTTTCATGCAGCCAGCTTCAAGATTCGAAACAGCCTCTCTACCCAGGGACGCGCGATTTTGTACCGCGCACAGCCTTTCAACGACGAAAATGCCTCTATGACACAATCCTGTCCAACCCTACCCGCGCCAAGCCGGTACTCACGAGCGCATCACGTCCGTCTCCACCGGATGAAGTCAGTCTCGCCTTCTGGAAACCATACAAAATCTCGAGTCGCGTCGTGCTGTGCTGGCCCTCTCATCATTGTGTACATTGGCGGTGCCTGGCGTTCGGCTCGCGCCCCTCGGTTTATCCGCACCGCCGGCGCACCCGACGTCAATCAGCGGGACACAGCACTGTCGCTTTGCCGAGGCTCCAGATCGTATAAATATCGCACGCCATGGCCAAGTCCCCACCAAACATCACATGTCTCCCATTCCTTCGTCCTTCGTTCGGGACCGCGTCCGGGACCGAGACAAGGCACTTCTCATTGGCATGCAGTACGACGCTCCCGAACGGCCTCCAGTGGGGAGGCTAAGGACGCCTCACAGGGATGTCCGTCTGCTTAAGGATTTCCTCATTAGGCACGAGGGCTATCTCGAACAGAACATTGTTGTTCTCATCGATGATCCTGCAAATGAGTGTATGCGCCCGACGAAGGCGAACATAGTGCGTTATGCTTCCACTGTGCTCTGTCCGTGGTCGTCTGACATCTCGTGCAGGAAGCAGCGATCGAAGCGTTCATGAAAGACATCCAGCCTGGTGATCGGCGTGTGTTCTTCGGTGCGTCGTCGGATTGGCGTCTTGCAAATGTTTTAGCATGTTCATGGGGCAACTGCAGTCGCCGGACACGGGTACCAAATCATCAGCCGCACGGGCACGGAAGATGACAACATGGACGAAGGCAAGTAGAGCCGATCTATTCTCATTCGCTAAGGCTTGACGTCCATCCTTAGTTATTCTGCTCGATGATCACCTCGGCGAACCGCTTGACGTCGAAGGCAAGCCTCTCGATCCGTACCAGCTAAAGGAAGGACACCCAGACAGGGGAAAGCTCGAAGGAATCATTACAGACAACGTAGGTGTATCTTACTTAGCCATGTGCCATGCATGTGACTGACCACGCGCCGTATTAGTTTCTAAGAGAGAGGCTCGTTGACAGGTTGCCTCCGGGGGCTCGTCTGGTGGTGTGTATTTTCACAGCTTACAATGAGTTATCGCTAATATGGCTACGAAGGCCATCTTCGATACCTGTCATTCGGGCACCATGCTGGATCTGGATTATCACTGGGACTGGCGACATTTGCGCTATACATCACGGAGGTCAAGTTCTGGCTATGTCATCAATCCCCGTCATACTGGTACGACTTCGATGGGATCTTCTGACCAGCACGAATACTTACATACACTCACCCCGCCCAGTGTATTCCGCAACGCACACCCGTAGCTTTGTGTACAGCGCCACGCAGCGTACGGGTGCCCGAGCTAGTATTTCCAAGACATCGATGACCTTGACGGACTGTGCTGTGTCGTCCTCTGCGGCGTGGGTGCCCGACGACACTACTGAGGAGCGGCCCCAATGCTCTTCGCCCACGTCCGAGCGAGCCCCCGTACTGCCACAGCCTAGTAAGGGTCCACCCTATGGACCCGTTGCTGCTGATGTGGTGCGTATAAATATTTTTATTATCGTCTACTCGTGTTCATTGAGTGCTTGACTAGTTGTCTATCTCGTCGGCAAAGGACTCGCAGCGGGCATGGGGAGGAGAGCACACCATGCTTACGGTGCGTATTACGAATCTTACTTGACCAATGGCTGATGATTTATTCTGGTGACAGGTCTTGCTGGATATCCTACGCGAGTCGAAAGAGGGCCAGAGACCCAAAGTCTGCAAGTTTATGGGGAACCTGCAGTAGGTTTGGTATCTCAGTTTGGCGAAGATATATCTGTTAATATTTTCATCCAGGAAAAAGACGTTAGAGCACAGGTTCTCCGCCATCCAGAGTTCCCTGAAGAACAGGCCAGGAATGGTGCAAAAAATTAAGGCTGTTCAAAGTCATCAATTTGGATCACTCTCCCCATGGGTATGCTCTATGAGTGCTCTTATTGGTTGATTTTCTCTGACTAGAATCCATACAGGCATCAGAGCGCGAACTGGTCCTGTGATGAGGTCCTTTGGTCTCGCGGTTACAACCATGCTAATTATGCGCGGATTCTACGGGCACATGCTATATTTCTGCATTTCTACTTGCTGTACACACGAATACCGGGACGTTGGACTATACGGACTAGGCTTCACGGACCTTTGATTCCATCCTAACTTGTCAATTGTAGCCTTAGTATAGCTTATTTTTAGGCCTGTTGCCAGATCAACACTGGCGTAATCAGATACACATGTTATGTAGCACGTATTTCTATGCGTTAGGACTCTTTGCTGCATACTGTTGTGGTCAGCTCGTTGCGAGAACGCCAATGTCCTCGCGCCTCTATCAATTCATATCATCCTTTCCCACCACTGAATCTGCCCGCTCGAAGGGATGGACCAAGTCCCAGGCTGCAGTCAATCCCGTGTTGGCGGGCCTTGGCCGCTTCTACGACGACCGCCACGGAGGAACGGCTGGAGCGCCAGTGACGGCGACCGGCCGGCCGACGACCACTCTCTCTTCCCCTCACTCCTCGCCTGTCCTCCCTCGTCTGGGCGTCCTCGGCCATCTCGCAGGCCTATCTATCACAAGCAGGGCCGCTGCACACTCCCCTGTCTGTTGCACTGTGGTGCGTGGTATATCAAGGGACACGGCAGTGTCAATTCGACTCTTCTCCGAGCTGTTCCAATGCCGTCGCAGACGCTTGCTCTGCTGCTTGTCGCAGTCGCAGGATGTATTTACGGTTTGCCGTGCTCTGTCCACGTCGCTGATGCCGCCGGCCCTAAGCGATCGGCCTGTGGTGTATGGTTTTGTAATCCGTCTAGATTACTCGTGTTTAGCACTGGTTCGCGTGGTAGGCGAAAGGCGGACGTCGACTGAGTCTCGACTCCATGTGTCGCGCCTGGGAGAATGCTGACGGGCACTGCGAATTGCATGACTGAACGTGAAGCATGAATGCTTACCAATGAAGGCTTGGTTTTCATCGAGCCGGGTGTCGACCTTGTCGAAGCGTCTCAACAGTTCCTATGGTATGCCCCTTGAGCTATACACGTGTGCGAGGGTAACATACAACTACTCACATTAACACCGACTTCGAGATTCACGATCCCCCCAATCTATACGTGGTGGCAGTGAGCAACACAGCGCCTCTACTCTCACAAGTCAGGCTGACCAGGAAAGCCTCGATGGTTCGAGATATCTTTGTGATATGTTCGTTTATTGTTCCAGTATGCGAATCGGACCTGAAAAATCGCGAGATTTTAGAGCGAGAGGCCAACTTGCGAATCTCCTTCGTCGACTCTGCTAGCTGTCTATGCGGAAGTGAGTAGGCTAGAGAAGCAGATCGGATTGATTCGTGCCTCTCAAGGGTATCTATACGCCAGCGCAAATCCTCCGGACATGCCTTCTCGTTCTTGAAGATAGGATTTTGAAGAGCGGTGGAAAGTTGATTAGCGTGCTGCTCAAGAAGCTTGATCTGGTCGATGTTCGCCCCCATTTTCTAAACGAGAAGAATAAGGAAACAATGTGTGGCACGATCCGATGATCCACTCACCTTCACGACATCTACAACACTGGCAACGCCCCCGACCGCGGATTGAAGTGGCGGAAACGCGGCGGTTGCGTCCTTGGCGATGGTAAGGGCAACCACTACGCCATCGAGGAGTGTGTGAACGTTCTCATTCGAAGGTCTCAATCTTGTGCCGCGGGTGTTCAGGCTCATTGTACGTCCGCTACGGATACGCCGTCATCGTCGTCGTCACCGTCTGAGGTTGGGCATGCGGGAGATTCCACGGCTGAGCAGGCTGTGCGTCTGTTTTACGCGTACATGTCCATTTGACCAGATGAAGACGAACCTAACCCTAACTCCGAAGTCTCCTATAAATCGTAGGTCTGCGCTACGCTATTGCTGCTCGTTTCGACTACCCCAGCCAACGTGTCATCTGCGAAGGTCGAACACGATCGGAGACTCTGAACACCATCTACCAATGGTTCCTCCCAAACCAGGCTGAAGGTCGGATGTCCGAGACCGTTCTACAGCCACCGAGAGCAGATGCGCGGCTGTTTTTGCTCAGCGGGCAGGCTGGAACAGGCAAGTCGACCATCGCACAGACTGTGGCGGCATGGTGCTCGGAACGCGTGTGCCTTGGCGCGAGCTTCTTCTGTTCTAGGGACAATCGAGAGTGTAGTGATGTCCAGATGATATTTCCTACGATTGCCTACCAGCTTGGTCTGTGGGATCGCAGGTTCCAGGAGAAGGCCGCAGAGGTCTTGAAGCGGGACCCTGACATACAGACATCCCTTGTCTCTCGTCAGCTCAAGTGCCTGATTGTTGACCCCCTACAGGAGCTGCCAACATTCCCACATTGTGCAGTCGTCATCGATGCGTTAGACGAATGCAAGGACGATGAGACGACGTCTCTAATTGTTCGTGCCCTCTCCCAGCACGTCTCCGACCTGGCTCCCCTGAAGATTTTCCTCACAAGCCGGCCCATCCCAAACATCACCTACGGCTTCCAGTCGACCGGCCTACTCAACGCGACGCAGCATGTCATTCTCCACGAAGTGCCACCAGCTACCACAGAGCGTGACATCGGCATCTTCCTGCAGGAGAAGATAGCTAGCATCCGACAGAGATACAACTTGGGCAGTTCGTGGCCTTCCGCAGGCCAGGTGCCACAGCTAGTCGGGTCTTCGCACAGACTGTTCATATACGCATCTACCGCGATACGCTTTATCGAGGACGTCAATGCTTGCGACCCGAAAGGCCGTCTCCGATTACTGCTTGAGGGCCAAGGGACAACAGCTAACGAGCGAACGGCTTTCGATCGGCTGGACGAGCTGTATCTCCAGGTTTTGAAGAGTGCACATCCGAACGTCACTCGAGAGCTCAAATCGAGACTGAAGAATGTGCTGGGTACCCTCGCCCTCATCCGTGACCGCCTTTCGCCGAACGCCATCGACACACTCATGCTCCTCGAGCCTGGAACAGTTCGAACTACACTCGCGCATCTCTACTCAGTTGTCATGGTTCCGGACGACGAGGATGCCGTCATCAGCCTCATCCACCCTTCGTTCCAAGACTTCCTCACCAACGCAAACCGATGTCGTGACCCCGATTTATTGGTCAATCCGGCGATCCAGCATGGGCTTATTGCTCGACGCTGCCTCGATACCATGATTAGCGGGTTGCAGATGGACATCTGCAATATCGAACAGAGCGTGCCGAACTCGGAGGTGCCTCAACTTTCAGACCTCGTAGCGATACACATTCCTCCACCCCTGCGATACGCTTGTCTTTACTGGGCACACCACGCCTCCAGTAGCGAAATCGACAGCGAACTCTGTTCCCTGCTCACTGAGTTCGGTGAGAGCCACTTGCTGAATTGGCTGGAGGCTCTGAGCCTGCTTGGAGAGCTAAGCGGAGCGGTTTCAGTAATGGAAAAACTCCGGGAGAGATTACTGGTATTTAGTTCCTTCGCTTTTAGTGATTCGCCACTAACTATGTTGTCGCATCCAGGAATCACCTATCGCACATTTTGATATCATCACACTATTATATGATTGCCAACGAGCCGTACAGCAGTCATTCTTAGGCCTTAGTATCTCTTGTCTCCAAGCACATTTCGGAATCATCCCGTTCTGTCCCACTTCCAGTAAACTTAGGGAATACTACGCTGGGCAAGCAATCAACGTGCCGAGGGTGATCAGCGGATTCCAGCAGCGTTGGCATGCCTGCACCCTCAGCATTGAAGGCCATCTGCGACGGGTATTGGGCGTTTGCTTCTCACCTGATGGCCGACGCGTTGTCTCCGTATCCCAAGACGGGACGGTTAGGCTATGGGACGCTGTTACAGGCTCTCATCTGCACACGTTGGCAGGACATCTGGAAGCAGCTGTATGTGTGGCATTTTCGCCCAATGGCAGGTACATCGCTTCAGGCTCCGCGGATCGGACCGTCATCATCTGGGACGCTGTTACTGGCGGACGACTCTACACGCTGAAAGGTCACGCCAGTTGGATCAGGACTATAGATATCTCCCCAGATAGTGGAGTTCTCGCCTCGGGCTCCAACGACCACTCAGTACAACTCTGGAACCTCAGCAATGGACTTGGCTCGTCCAGAACCCTGTCCCCGGCACACAATTCCGCGATCACAAATGTCAGATTTTCCCGGTCTGGAAAGCTGCTGGTTTCCGGCAGTGTAGACGGTGCATGCAAAGTCTGGAAATCGGGTGCTTGGACCTGCCGCACACAATTCGACCATCCCGAACACCTTCCTATATCATCCGTCGCCATCTCACCCGATGATACCATTTACGCCGCGGGACTCGGAAACGGAGCTATGACTATCCTTTTGCGTTCTACTAGCGACGACCACTGGTCACACACTCTCCAAGGCCACACATCCAAAGTGTGGGCTCTTGACTTCTCTCCGGATGGCTCCACACTGGCTTCCGGCTCGCACGACCACACCATCATTCTATGGAATATAGCGAGCCGATCTGTCCTCTACACCCTGAGAGGGCATTCCGACCCAGTGTACAGCGTCAGATACTCCCCTGGTGGCCAGCGGATGGCCAGCTGTGGCAAAGAGCACAATGTCCGCATCTGGGACCTATCTTATTTGCTGACCAAGGGGGAACAGAAGCCTACAGGCGAGATGGAAAATTTGACACAGGATAGCGGATCAGGCTTGTACGAGAACGCTGCAGTTGATATTCGCCATTCTTCCGTTGTACGTTCGGCGACGTTTTCGCCAAGCGGGCGCATTCTCGCCACCGGCTCTCGCGACAGCACGATCCGTCTATGGGATACCACTAACGGTACTCTGTTGCAAGTCCTCGAAGGCCATCAAGGCGTTGTCTCGTATCTGACATTCTCGCCCGACGGAGAGAAGCTGCTCTCATCAGAGGCCATGGCCGACTTCGATAGAGCTGCCAGCCCTCGTCTGTGGGACGTGAAGAGTGGTCGTTGCGAACAGACGTTCACCGGGCATAATCGGGGCGTACGGATGGCAAAGTTCTTTCCAGGAGGGAAACATGTAGTCTCGTGTTCATACGACGGCAGCGTCCGTGTTTGGGAAATTGGCCAGCCGAGCACACGCAGCACAGTATCGCATATCGTTTACCAACGGAGGAGCCGTATAGTCTCCGTTTCCGTCTCTCCCGACGACAGCCTAATCGCGTTTGGCTCCTCCGAAGATGCGAACGACCATATACTCGGACTGGTCGGCCTGACGGCGCCACAGGCGACGGGCCACTTCAAGTTGGTGCCTTATTCCCGTGCGTACGGCGTACCTACAGCTCTCGCGTTCTCCAAAGACGGCAGCCGTCTCCTGGTTGCCTCCAGTAAAATACCAAGCATCACGCTTTGGGACATCCAAGCAACTAGTCGGGCCGGCTCGACGTTCGTCGACACCGTGCCTCACGCGACGTTCGTGTGTCACTATTATGGCGGAGACGCTGCGGAGAACGTCAGATTCTCTCCTACAGAAAGATTCTTCATGACCGATGCCAGCTTTGGTGCCATCTCGCCGCAGCACCGGCCGCGCTCGGCCTTGCAAGACGAAAGTCTTGACCCGGCAGAGTACACATTCTTCCTCGCCGACAGCTGGCTCTGGTACGCGTCTGCTATCGAGAGACGGAGGTTATGCTGGGTGCCGTCCTCCTATCGACTCATACGTTCACACGTGATGACTTACCGAGGAAGTATCGCAGTACACCGTAATGAGATAGCTTTTGGCACAGAAAGCGGTCGGGTCGTCATTTTCGACATGTCTCCTTGTCTGCCACAGACTCGCCGGGAGATAATAGGACGTAGTACGCCTGGTTGTGTACATGGTCATTAATACTACGTCATCCCTAGAACTTGTAACTTGTCACGCGTGTTGTGCACTTAGGGATGCAGCATAGTGTTGAGTCCTTTCCTCTACCGTGACGTGGCGGCGGCTGGAGCGAGTCACGGCGCGCTCAAGCTGCCGGTATCTCTACTTGAACATACATCATTACTACAACAGAATTGTCAGAAACTGGAGATACATTTTGAGCTATTACTGCAATATCACGAACGTAAGCATAATCCACTATATCGAAGCTTGAAGCTGAGATTCAATCCTTCTTTTCAGTTCAAGCTGATGGGCTTGGCAAGGACGGTCTCAGCTCGCATTTATCTGCAAGGCAGTCGTCGGCAGGCACAAATCGGTGATCGTAGGGTGATACTCTCGAGTGGGTGTGTTAGGTTCGTATGTGAGAATCAGGGTAGTCGTACTATGACGAGGCTGGCGGTACCGCGGTGAAATATAGACACACGATTGTGGCGCCTCTCGCTGGACAGAGTCAGAACATCAAAGGAACAGGCGGGCTAAGCAGTGGGGGCAAAGTGGATGGTGTAGAAATTGAGCCGTAGCCCTCCGCATTGTTGTATGGCTTGGACCATTCCGGGAATATGTTGCGGATTGGAGGAAGGCCGTTTGTCTTGCTGAGGTTCCGTCCTGCCTGGTTTCCGGGGTCTAGTCGAAAGGTTGAGTGGCCGTTCGAGTGGTAGAATGCTTGATCACCAGAACTGTTACGAGCCGTCGGGATCCACGAATGGTGCTGATATCGTGATCTTACCAGTATAGGCTCAGGTAAGGGACGCGTCACAACCGTTCGACGAAAATGTCGCAGTTTCATCTTCCCTCGTTCCATTCATAGCCACAAAGGGGCTGGGCCCGCGTGGAATCGGAACTTGTCTGTTAGGTTCAAGGAGTTGGCTTGTAGATTGGTAAGGGAATGGTGGAACGCGGCCGATTCTCGTAGATGAGCGAGACCTTGAGCCACAGTTTGCACCTCTGGACGCCCGCTGTCTCGGTATCATTTGATGAGCGTCGCGTCGGTGTTTGACGAGGCTAACTTGATCAGCCGTACGAAAGAAACACTTGACCTCTTCAATTTCGTTCGTCCCACGGGGTGAAGGCAGCGCGTAGCTCTCGGAGCATCTGTGTGGTTGAATACCGAGGTGTCGGTTGCAGTGGGTTTTCAGGTTAGCCCATTGCGTCATGATTGTTTGACATCCCTGGTGATAGTAAG